ATCCTAATCCCCTAGACCCCATCAACCCCAAACTAAACCCCTACACCTCCAAACCCCAAACAACTTAACACTAAACACCTCATCTCTAAACCCCTAAACCCGAAGCCCCTAAACCCTGCAAACCCTTGACTAATTATTCCCTAAACCCCTAAACCCAAATCCCCACAACCCCTAAGCCCTGAACCCCTAAACCCCTGAACCCTCCCGACCGGCCAAAACCAGAACAAGGAATCCGGTTTGACACTGCTGCTGCTGCGAGCCCTGTGGAACTCACGACCTCCCCTCAAATAGTATTAAAGTATGTCTTGTTATACTATATTCTGCTACGTTCTGTTAGGTTGCGTTACGCTATGTTCTGTGATTTTGCAGTTAATCTATGAGCTAAGGGTTTAGGGTTTGGGGTGTGTAAACTTAGGATTGTGATCTACTCCAACAAGAAACAACAAAAGGTGCGGCGGGAATACACCTAAATTTCTGACTTAGAACCCACCGATGACCTTCAATCCCTAACACAAGACGTCCTAGGCCCTGAACCCTTCATGAAGCCCTTGATCCTTAATCTTGAACCCCAGCAAAGCAATCGGCTGCGGTCTAATCCACTACCCAGCAACAATGAGCAGACTAGCAAACTGTTAGATGTTGTAGAACAGAGATAGTACATACCCTAAACCCTAAACCCTAAACCCCAAACCCTAATCCCTAAACCCGTTAGAGAAGGGCTCATGGGATATCCCACAGCAATCGAACCCAGACGCCTGCCGCTCACGTTCCCGGCGGTAGCGCTTGATGTTGCGGGCCATAAGGTCCTCATGGGCTGGTAACCTGAAGCCTACATCGTTAAAGTTATTTGATGTTGCTTGTATGAGGATCCTCAGTCTTACTACTATTTCGCTCTTATCGAGCATGATTACTACTGATAAGCTACTACTACTACTACTACTACTACTACTACTGCTACTACTACTACTACTACTCCTACTCCTACTCTTACTCTTCTGCTACCGCTCGCCGACCCGGACGACGACGAACGAAACATATAAATGGTAGAACTGTTACTACCATAGTTTCTTATTACACCAGCTACACTCCAAACCTCCGCCCCAACACCTGGAAGCGCCAACCTCTAAAGCGCAACCCCGGAGTCCCATCCGGCACACGGATTTGAACAACGGCGGTCCACCATGATTTGGTGATTCGCAGCTGTATAGGTTTCGGCGATGTTCGGGGAAATGCTGGTTATCTTCGGCTTGCCGGCACCTGGACTACAGAACTAAGTCTAAGCTCTGAGAAATTTAGCATCCTGACCATTCCGTTTTCGGTTGCAATCTTCTTGAATGATGACAGTGAAATGGGCCTGAACCCACCCCTTCCGCCCGAGTGCAACCCATGACTTGTAGCCTTCTGAGGTCAAGCACCAAGACCCTAACAGCTGCATGTAAGCCCTGGTTCCCACTTAGATACATACATGCACACGTATACATACATGCACACGTATACATACATACATACATACATCCATCCATCCATCCATCCAGCCAGCCAGCCATCCGTGCATACATACATACATACATACATACATACATACATACATATATATATACATACATATACACACATACATGCATACATACATACATACATACATACATACACATACATGCATACACATACATGCATACATGCATACATGCATACATGCATACATACACGCATACATGCATACATGCATACACACGTACATGCATGCATACATACATACATACATACAGACAGACAGACAGACACAAAAACATGGCGTAGCAGAAAGACAGACAGACAGACAGACCGACAAACATACATGTGTACATGCCTACGTGTGTACATATATGCATGCGTGCATACATATACAAATGCAGGCTTACATGCATACATGCACATCTACGCGCATCTACATACCAACAGTAGTTGTCCCTTCATATCAGTGCCTGGCCCTGTTGCCAATGTCGCCAAACTTCAAAGTATTGTGCCCCAAAGCCGCTGTCGAACATCCTGTCCCGACGTCTACATTTTATGATATCGTTTCAGGATGTAGGTAGGCATTCTGTTTATCAGCGCTCAGCTGGAGCAACAAAGATCTGCATCGCCTTCCGCGTGAGCTCATAGTGGTTGGGGTAGTGGTTCACCACCTGCAGTTGCATGTTGTCGCATCTGCTCTACTTGGGTGGGACAACGATTCGAATGCACTCATCGCCAGGAGCCCTCAGCGACTTGCTGAGTTCTAGATCGGCTGTGTATAGGGTGCATGGCGTTTGGGACGGAGTGGGGTGTAATCCTGTCTCGAACAGCCATACCGAACCACAGGAACACGCGTAAACCACCGGAAAACCCTCTGAAGCACCAAAACATGAACATCTCTCAACCGAGGGCCGGTTCGTGCAATGGCGAAGTTCTCAAAAGTCAGGTGCGTGGGGTTCGCTGGTTCCCTGTACGTTAGAATGATCATTTTTAATCCTTATTATATAGGGCCTAATTCATTAGGGTTTTATTATAACAAAAATGTAAAAATGTATCCAACAAGGACCCAGTTTAGGGTTTTGGGTTTGAAAGTCAATTCGCAGGGGTGCTTGCAACCCAGATGCCACTACCAACTTGTGGTCCAAAGCATGAATTGTCTCTACCCTGGAAATTCCTAAACCCTAACAGCCCAAGCCCCAAAAATCCCAAACCCGCTAAACCCCCCAAAACCCGAGAGCTACATACACCCCTACTGACCCTACAGGCCCAACACTTCGACCTTCGGAAGCGGCTTCTGCCAAAGAGCACCTAAAACATCCCGCCCTCCCTAAGACATCAATCAAACCTGACACCCTACCAGCACCCCCCCAAGTAACCTGTAATAGAGCCCTTATGGTCCATAATAGTGGGTATTTAGGGTATAGTAGAGGGTAGTTGGGGGGGTGTTGGTAAACCCTAAACCCGAAAACACGGCACTCTGCAACCCACCTGCCCGTCCTTTAGTCTCTTCACCGCGTTCTCCGGGTTAAAGAGCGGCCGCACCTCAAGCTTCGCATGGGTTTTGTGCCTTAGGATTTATGAGGGTTTAGGGTTTAGGGTTTAGGGAGGGTTTGGGTGAAGGGTTAGCGTTGACGGTGTGCAGTGGGTGAATCAGGTTCAGGGTTTAGGTTCTGAAAAGATTTAGCAGCAAACAGGCCTCGACACCCAAAACCTGAGAAGTACGGCACTAGGATGACAACAATGATAGAAAGACCATAGTACCACGAGCAAGCACAACTCGTCAAGATCAGCGACGGCACCAAAAATCATCCCAGGCGGAGAAACACCCCTGGATGCAATCATCGTACAAAAAAGCAAACGCAGCTGGTCAAAAACCCAAACCCTAAAGCATAATCTGGGAAAAACTAGAGTCACTAGAGAAGGTGACCGGCGTCCCCTCCGAGCCTGTACCCTGGACTCGAAAATAGGCAGGGTTCAGGTTTGTGGCTTAAAGCCGTAATACCAATGTCAGCACATCATTGCCATTGCTGTTCTTCTCTTGCCCATCTCTTCTTACGTGCTTCTGCCTTCGTGAAAGAAAGTCTTTGACAGCTCCGTCGCTAACTGAAAGGAATAGCTCGCTGTGCAAAACTGTTATATTATAGTGACAGAGATTAGAGATTACGATTGAGGGTTTCGGGATACGTCGTAGAGGGTTTAGGGCATAGCATCAGTCATACAGGTTCTTGTGATGTAAGGCAGGACAGAATACAGCTAGTAGAGCTGTGCAAACTAGCATGGTGCACGCTGTAGTAGATTGCACACTACTTGCAAGACTATGCCATGAACAGAACGTAGCAGCAGACATATAAGAAGACGATGTATTTCGCTTTCAACCCTTCGATCCTTTTCGAGCACAAGTCCTACGTCCCCAACCTTGAAGTGCCGAAAGACTGGACCAGCGAACTTCCAAGGCCAGCGCATTGTGGACTGAGGCCCAGTAGATGTCAAATTCCTGCCGGGAAGTTCTGGATGCAAGTTAGAAAACTTGTAAGGAACAGTCGCAAGGGCAACAATAATAGTACCTGTGCAGCTTCCCGCAACCACACTAGACATGGGGAGGCTGGCAACACGAGCGAAAGCGCCGCACCATCCTAGTCGCAGTTTTCTGAAGTTTTGGAGTGGGAGTCATCGTCGTTGTTGCTGTCCTCGGCATCGTAGTAGTAGTCGTAGTCGTCGTCGTAGTGGCGGCGGTAGTGGTAGTGGTAGTGGTAGTGGTAGTGGTAGTGGTAGTGGTAGTGGTAGTGGTAGTGGTAGTGGTAGTGGTAGTGGTAGTGGTAGTGGGTAGCGGTAGCGGTAGCGGTAGCGGTAGCGGTAGCGGTAGCGGTAGTGGTAGTGGTAGTGGTAGTCGTAGTAGTCGTAGTAGTCGTAGTCGTAGTAGTAGTCCTGGTGGTGGTTGTGGTGGTTGTGGTGGTGGTGGTGGTGGTGGCATGCAGGGCTTGTAAATTCTGTTGTTTTTGGTTTTGGTGCTGTTCCCCACCCTCGGTGGGGCTGTTAGATTTAACGACAGATGCCGACGGGCACCGGCGAGGATCCCGCCACTACCCGACATAAGAAGAGGGCAAAGAAAGGACGCACAACAGATCAAAACAGCTTCTCCGCACACCAATGGCAACCAGTGGAGGTCTCAGGCCGGCTATTCCGAGTGCACGGAAAGACCTTTTCCGGGCACCACTAGCAGCCAGTGGAGGTTTAGGTTAGGGTTTAACCTGAACCCCCGAAACCCCGAAACAATCCTAAAGAATCCCGAAAAGCAAGCTCGCAAACCCTGTACGCTTCACAAACCCCGAAGTCCTCATCCGAAGCCGGGAAAAAATTAACCCTAACCCTAAACAGGAAACCCTAAACCCTAAAACCCTTTCGCCACTGTCCAGGCAGTACTCGCAAGTAGCCAAGCGATGGACTTTGGTGATGAGGGTGCAGCCTCTCCGTGTGGGCGCTCGCCGTCCAATGCCGGTGACGAGACCATGACCCTAAGTAAGCTCCTCGAGGAGGTGGGAGCTTCAGAAATTCGGGTATCAGATTTCGGGGTCGCTTTAACAATGATCAAACCCGAAGCCCTAAAACAAACTGAACCCATAGAACGCCCATAGAAAAAGCCCAACGGCCCTAAGCTTTCAGAGACACCCAAAGACCCGAAGGATCCCTCCGGAAGGAGCCCTTGGAAGCCCCGGAGACCCATCCCAGGTGGCCTTCAAAACGGGACGCCGTGGTTGTGATGAGGCTGGCATCATCGGCTCTTGGGAAGGTACCGTGAGTGAAAGCCTAGGGGGTTACCACCAGCACATCGTCTTTGAAGAAGGTGGGAGAGCTCGGGTAACCGTCGGACAACAGACCTTCATGGCCAACTACACTATGAACTGCCTGAGTCTTCCCATGACCTTAGACCTCGAGCTTCCGAGCGCGATCATCCCCTACATCTTCAAGCTTGAGAAGGGCTGCTTGCATCTGTGTGGCGCCGGATGCGGAAGAGGGCGGCCAAAGAGTTTCCATGGCCCGGGCTTGTGCATCATGAACCGAGCGGATTCTTTCGACGGGCTTCAGCCACTCGTCTCTTCCCCCCGAAGACCCAAACCAGATTCTCATGATTAAGGCTCCTTGAGAAGCCTTAATAAAACCTGACAATACCCGATAACAAGTAAGACCCTAAACCCTAAACCCTGCACCGAGCACCCTATGAAAACCTAAATAGCACAGAGGCGAGGGCCGGAGCTCGAGCAGCCAGGGATCTCCCACTTCGCCTCCTCTCCTCCAGAGCTGTCCGGTAAGAAGGCCTTTGGGCACCGGCTCCTAAAACCCTTAAAACCCTAAACCCCAAACTCCTAAACCCTGAACCCCTACACACTACACCCCTAAACCCTAAAACCTAAACCCTTAACCCCAAACCCTAAATCCTAAGCCCTAAACCCTAAACCCTCATCCCTCCACGGAAGCCTTAAAGGCACCCTTAACAATCCCCTCAAGTGACCCCTATATAGGCCTTTGGGGTACCGGCTGTGCTCAAGTTCATGGAAAATCAGCCGGCTCTGATGGCTTCGGCGATGATGGCGGCCGTAGGGGCCGTGGTGGCTTGGCGCAAGAGTTGAGGGAGCCAAGGATTGGCAGCCTCGGCGGGTTTGGAGAACTCATTTCGAGGGGCCTGGCCACTTGGCCTGCATAACTATAGGGGCCTTAATACTTCGAATAGGGTTTGGGGTATATTATACTATAACTATAATAAGGAACCCCCCAAACCCTATTCTGATTATTAAGGCCCCTACATTACATGTGTTTGCAAAGCTACAGCAGTAGAATGCCCGTAATTGGTTTTTCAAGACGTACAGATGGAAGTGAAACAGCGACCAATGAGAACTTCGTCAGATGCAGGCAGCAGATAGGGAGCTTGTTTAGCACGTGTTTGGTTACTCCTTCCTGGTTGCCGCACGCTTCCTGCCTTCAGATTTTCAGTGCGACTGGCGAGACCTGGATCTGCCCCTGTCCAATTCCGCAGTTTTAATGCAGTTCCTCTCGAGCCATCCACTGTTAAGGTGGGTTTCAAGCGGTCAGTTGGACCGCTGAGAACATCCCGCACATTTTGTATAGCCAGCTCACTGCATGTCCTGGAGCATGAACCCCAATCCCTGAACCCTCATCCCTAAACCCTAAATCCCAAACCCTGAACCCTACAACCTAAGCTCTAAATCCTAAACCCTGAACCCTGAAACCCCCAAGCATCACTACAATAGTAACTAGTGCGGTGTGGGGTTTCAGGGGTGTAGAGGTGTAGGGGTTTAGGAGTTTAGGGTCTTGGGGTTTAGGTTTTGGGGGTTTAGGGGTTTAAGGCTACGTGTCAGGGCTTAACTGTTAGGGGCTAAGGGTTGAAGGCTTAGTTAGAGTTTCTTGCTTGAAGGAACAGGACATTTACTTTTGGCAGGCTTTGAGTAAGATGACTATGGATCCGAATGATCCGAACTAGGAGGAGTATATCCCCAAGTGAAACATGTACCAAGTGGTTTGTGGCGAATTTCCGCGTACCACGTCGAAGGACATGCAGGAGCAAGAGTTCCAGTCCAAGTAGATTTGGACTGATGGCACTTTTGAGCAGTGCAAGAAACCTGTCACTTGTGTCAGGAGAGTCTGCAAGCCCGTAGGGAGAGGCACTGGAAAGGCATCTTCTACTGTTCACGGAGAGGCACTGGAATAAAAAAAAAAATATATACTTATCACTTATCTATTTATGTATTAGACTAAACAAATAAAATAGACAAATAGATAAAATAAATAAACAAATAGTATAAATAAAGAGAGAGAGAGAGAGAGAGGGAGAGAGAGAGAGAGCGATATATACAATACATATGTGTATATGCACACATGTATGTATGTATGTATGTATGTATGCATGCATGCATGCATGCATGTATGTATGTATGTATGTATGTATGTATGTATGTGTGTGTGTGTCTGTGTGTCTGAGTGTATGTCTGTATGTCTGTATGTCTGTATGTCTGTATGTATGTATGTCTGTCTGTCTGTCTGTATGTATGTATGTATGTATGTATGTATGTCTCTGGGTGTGTGTGTCTGTGTGTATGTCTGTATGTATGTATGTATGTATGTATGGATTATGTATAGATGTATGTGTATATTTCATTTATTTATTCACTCAGTCATGTTTCTCTCTTTACCCATGACGATCTGCATTCGTCCGTCTTAGCCCAGATTTGCCACTCACGACTTCGGGCTTGCGGCTTGCGCTCGTGATTTCCCAAGATTAGGGCAGAGCGCTTTTACAAGCGGAGAGATGAATTTACAAGCGGAGAGATGAATCTGTCAATGGACCTCCGTCTGCAATTAAAATCTGATGCCCCGGTGTACTATTCCGCATGTGGCCCGATTGCTTGCACCCTCTGCCGAAGCCTCGCATGAAAAAGGTACCAGATGCACCATCCAATCACTTCGTGGCGGCTGGTTCTCCTGCTCCTTGTCATGGGTTTTAGCCAGTAGGTTAAGAACCCTATACCCTACCCAATACGCAATACCCAATACCCTAAACCCTAAACCCCTAAACCCCTAAACCCCTAAACCCTAAGCCCTAAACCCCTGAACCCTACACCCTAAACCCTAAACCCTAAGCCCTTCCTCAAGAGGCGTGGAACAGCCCGGCCACCTCGCACCCCTCGCCGCGGCCGAGCTCATATTCGACCAGGAGACATCGGACCAGGGGGGAACCAAAAGGGTTCAGGGGTTTAGGGGTTACCCTAAACCCTAAACCCTATACCCTCAACCCTAAACCCTAAACCCTGTACCCTAAACCCTAAACCCTAGGGCCCAGGGCGTAGGGGTTTAGGGTTTACGGTGTGGCCAAAGCGTCGAAGCATTCCTGGAGTTCGGTTTTCCGGGATTGGTGATGCGGACAAAACCTAGACTACGGCAATCATCAGCGGTTCCTGATTATGCTGATCGTTTTATTTCCCCCCAAAACCTTATCCTAGCTATGCAGGCTCGACACGTCAGATCTGTCCTACATGCGAAGCAGCGCAGAAGCTCCTACCCCAGCCTTCCATCGCAAGCGCAGTCGCTTCAGAAGAGGTCCGCCATCGTAGAAAAAGCTAGCCTTGTGCCGTAAGACCTTCATCCTCACCCTCAGACCCAAAGCCTAGCCATAGCGGGCTCGGGGTTTAGGGTTCACGGTGTAGGGTTTAAGCGTTTAGGGCGTAGACTCGAAACCTTAAAGCCGTAAACCTGGAAACATCCCCAAGCCCCAACGGCCCCAGGAGTACGTCGAGGATGTTGGTTTTCGGGAGACCTGCCAGGAGTTTGCTGTTCAATTCGGGGCGTAGCTTAGACCTGAGGACCTGAATTCATGGTTTCTGTAAGTTTTGGTTTTATGGTCCAAAGAGTTAAGTTGCAGAAGAGGTTCCGCTAAGTGCCGTGGTTCAAGCCCAAAACCCTACACACTAAATCCCAACCCAACCCCAAACCCTAATACACCCTTAGACGCTAAGTGTGCTGAACTGCTCTAACGACCGGTCGAGTCAAGCGACATTGCGCCAGCAGGGAAGCCATAGACTAGACAGAAGGGGTCTGAGTTAAGGGTTGTAGCGTGAAGGGTGTAGGGCCCAGGGGTTTGCGGTTTAAGGTTTAAAATTCAAAGATTTAGATTCAAAGATAAACATGATCTTACAAGACAAGCCTAGTGGGACGCCGAGGGATGACATGGTCGAGCGAAGCTGATAAGAGCAGGTGCTTCGGGTTTAGGTTTTGAAGCTGGGAGTAGGATGTTTTCGCATAGGCTAGTTGCCTTCATCCTCAGACCAAAGCTGTCAGATCGTGAGCAGCTTCTACACCGACTGGCTGTTGCGACCAGGGATTCTTTCTGTAACGAACAGCATGATTCATGATCTTCAATCTTCAGAAGGACCACGCCATCAAAGAGATCAAGGCCATCCATGGCCGAGGCACCCTGCAAGGACCAGTAGTTTTATCGGTGATATGACATCTGCCACACAGCCATTCATCTAGAAGAATGAATAATGAAGAACATAATTTTCTAGTAACCACTCCCCCCCCCCCCCCCCCCCATATTCCAAAAACACAGGCCCCGACACACTTGGCAGAGCCCCTTCTGGGGATCCTCTTGTAAGCCCGCCCCTGATTTCAAGAAGAAGCCGCGGGGTAGAGCTTGCTGCTTTCAGATCCCACTTCTCGCGCTTTTTGAAGGGCCGGCAGCTTTTGATTTTGGCAGGGCTTAGGGTTTCGGGCTTAGGGTTGGGGGTTCATATTTAGTGTACATGGGGCCAAGCTTCTCGGCATCCGCCTGGAGTGGAACCCCGACACAGCCTTGCAGATCCTTGCCGCCCAAGCGAGCCCTCAAGCCCACGAAAGTGATGAACAGCTGAAAACCCCTCGAGCCCCCAAAGCCCTCGAGCCCCTAAATTCCCCAAATCTGCTGCTCAAACTCACAACCAAGAAGCCAAAGAAGCATCAGGCTCTGAGGAAGAGTGGGCCAGCATGAGCACAGAGGAGGGTATTGATCCGAAGAGCTTCATCCGAAATTGGGGCCCGGCTTAGGGTGTGAGGTCCAGGGTTGAGGGATCAGAGTTTAGGGCTCAGGGTTCCGGCTCCGGCGGTTTAGGGTTTAGGGTTTGTAGAAATCTGGGGTTCTGGGCTTTGAAGGCTTAAAGGGCGTAAAGGGCGTCTAGCTGGACGTTAATGCCGAATCTATAAGGTGTTTCAACAACAATACAAGTTAATGTGCAGCAGAGTGTATGGTCAAGCAGAACTCTGTTTTCTTGCCCCGACGTCGTGAAAAAAGACAAGTGCTTAGCTACTAGAGTGTAGTCTAGTATAGTATGGTATATATTTAGTATACCCCACGGCCTTAACCCCTAAAGCTTGAGTCCTAGAGCCTTCGAATAAACCCGAAACCTCCAGTCCTCCTTCCTGGCTGGAACTGAGGAGCCCGATTTTCACGTTGGCCACTCGGGACTCTTGCCGGGTCGCCTTGTGCAGCTAGGAATGAATTGGAGCAAGCTTGTTACGGTTTCCGGGTTTAGGGTTTGTGGTGCCGGGTTTGAGGATTATATAGGCCAAGCAGCGTTGCTTGTCAGAGTTCGGTGTGGATGCAAGCAGGCGATTTTTTCAGGGTTGCTTGTCTCGGAAATCCGGTGTCAATGTCTTTGCGGAGTGCCTCAGCTGGAATTAGCAATACCACGCATTCAGTTTGCAACAAGACCCCGCCGGATATTCGATCAGAAGTGAGGGATGGGGAAAGATGGAGCGAGGTGGAGCGAGAAAGACAGCGAGAGAGAGATAGAGAGATTGACAATTGACATGAAGCTGTGTGTTCTGTGAGATGTGAGGGAACATAGCCTTAGTCTCAAAATAGGCACCATCACAGTTTTGCACAGCCACCACCGGCAGCGTCCTCGGGCTGTCATCCCTGTGGTTGGTGCTGCCATGCTTGCCACCAACCGGAGGAGGTGGGAACGCAGCAGGCTGAAACGTTTCGGTCGCACGTCCTGCCATCATAGTCAGACTCTTCCTATAAGCCGTACTTTCTAGCAGTGAAGTCTCTTCCTCGAAGCTGAGGTGAGCCGTGCTGGAA